CGACAGCGGCAGACGGTGGTGGGTGTGCAAAGGCGGGGCCGGCCCCGGACTCTGTCCCCAGGCAGGAGCCTCCCAGCCTCATCCCCCTGCCCCAGCCGGGGTCCAGGGTGGAGCCTCTGAGGCAACTGTGTGCTCAGGCTACTGCTAAGCTCCATTGCCCTCTGCCCTCCAGCTGCCCCTCCCGCAGAGCAGGCTCTGGCCAGGCTGGGCGGGGGGCTCAGCCCTGCCACTCACGCAGTCGATGCTGGTGATGCTGACGTTGCTGGGGAGAAAGCTGATGCCATTGTCCAGGCTGACTTCAATCAAGGCCTTCCTGAGGCACGGAAATAGAAGATGGGGACTAGCCCTGTCCTTGCCCTTGGTGCGGGCCACAGCCCCGAGCTCTCCGTCCGGGATCCACTCTGAGCACCAACACTCAGGGAGCAGAGAGCACACATCCCCAGAGAGCAGGTTCTGCGAGGCCAGCCTTGAGTGATGGCCAGGGGACATGAATTAGGTCCCAAAGTGCCCTGGTGGCCCCAGTGGGGTCTGCCACCATGACCCTGGCTGTGTGACCAGGGAGGGTTCTGGGTGTCCACATGTTTACAGGGGCTGTTGTCTCAGCCCAGAAGGTGACCTGGAGCAAGGTAGCATTTGTGGGCACAGCAGCCCTGCCTCTGTCCCCCTCAGCAGAGCCTGGGCCACCACAGAGCCCTGAACACCTTGGGGGACCCCAACGAGGGCAGGTGCAGAGGAGGCCCTGAGACCACGTGCAGTGGACGTGTGCCGCCCCAGCAGAGGCATCCCACGTGTGTACACCACTGACGGCCAACACCAACCGCCTGGCCTCCTGCCCACCGGGACCCCTGCCAGCGGCGCTTACATTCCAGGTGCCTCTAACTTGGGTCCAGGGCAGGTTATGGATGTGTTGTCTTTACTGGTTGGTTTCTTGTCTGAAAGGAAATGACCGAGGTGACAGTGCACAGTCCCTCCCTCCGTGCCTGCCCTGGGCAGTAGAGCTCGTCTCCCCATGACCAGATCCTCTGCCCTGATTTCTTCTACTCAGAGCCACGTGCCGAGACAGCCCTGCCCCACCGTGTGTGCTCTGAGCTCTGCGGGAAGAAGGCAGCCAGGCCTGCTCCCCCGGGACTACCCCTCAAAGACTGGAGACAGCCAGAAAATAAAGAACATGAAGTAAATTCACAACCCAAAGTGCAGGGACCTCCATGAAGAAAGGAAGGGACAGGGAGTGAAGTTGAGGGACAGCTGCTGCCTTAACGGCCACCTGCCTCGTCTGTTAGAGATAAGGTTTCTCTTCTAGAAATAGTGGCATGTGTACAGGCGACATGACTCGGAGTCTGGAATTTACTCCAGCCACTGCGTGGAAGGCACCAACAGCCGCAGCTTGGCATGGCTGGTGCAGTAGGAAGTGGGTGACGGCGCTTCCTGTTCACTGCCTTCTCCTGTCCTTCGTGTATCAGGGAGGATTCCCATGAACACATTCAGAGGAAGTGCCATTTGAGCAGAGACCAAAACGGTGAGGATCTGCCAGGGAAAGCCCCGAGGGCTAGTGCCCGGTGCTGTGGTGGCCTGTCCCGAGGCCCTGAGACAGTGAGCTGCTGAGCTGGAGAGGAGAGAGCCGAGCTGGGAGCCCTGGCAGGCCTGTGCCTGGGAGGGCCTCTGGGATTGACTGGCACAGGGAGTGCACAGGCTGGGCGGGCCCTGGCACTTTGGGTGTAGAGGTAGGAGGGCTTCCTGGGGCCGGACCTGGAGGAGGCTGGGAGGGAGCAGGATGGCACGTTTCCTCCAGAGGGGCCTGACTGGAGGTGAGGCCATTTCCTGGTCCACAAGCCAGTGGGGGTGCAGAGATTTCCTGGGTGCTTTTATCCTTCATTTACTCGTTCAGTAGCTCGGAGCCTGGACGGCCCAGAAGGGTCGAACCCTCGCATCAGGCCCCACTCACTCTGCCGAGTTCCCCAGGGGCACCCCTGCAGGTGCCTTCACAGCTCTTTTTCTTACAGGCTCAGCTGCTGGAGCCCCAGGCTTCCCCCCTGTAGGTTGGAGAGCATGGCCCTCCCAGGCCAGGTTCTTCTCTGACTTGCACCCCCCATGGCTGGAGACAGAGGGCAGAGGAGGTCTCAGCCACTTTAAGAGGGCATCCTGCCCTGGCATGGAGCAGTCTCCTGGGACCCATTCTGACCTACTTCCTGTAAGTGGGAGCAGCAGGGGTTCGAGCCCAGCTGTTCAAGATTTTTACAGAGTGCAAGCCCCTAACTCCATGTCAGGCTGTACAGGACCGTGGCCTCACAGAGAACAACTCTGTACTCTTTCAGCTGGGACAGGCTGAAGTGTGGAGTCAGAGGGGAACGGGCCTTTCTGAGCTCTGTGAATTTTGTTGAGGTAGTAACAGAATGTCTGTCAGGCAGAGCTGCAGCCCCGTGTCCATTACAAGTGGCGTGTGCGAGGGCATGGTGGGCCACTGCACCTACACCTGGGAGACTGCCCTTCCACATCAGCACCGCAGCCCTGCCCACCTTTCCTGAGCAGAAACCTTAATCTCCCCACCTGGGGAAGTGCCACTGCGTCTGCCCACCACAGCGCTTTCCTCCTGTTGGCATGAATGCAGAGTGGCTTCCATGTGGGCGACCTTCGTGGGGTCTATGGGCCTGGCTCCTGCCAAGCACATGGCTCTTCTTTTGGGACACTCACAGAAGGACAGAGCCCACCAAACCCAGTGTCACTGAGGGGTACGGCCTTGCTCCACAGTGCTCTGGGGTGCTGGGGTTTCTCACTTTCCCACGATGCAGATGAAAGTCACCAGAGGCCGGACTTCCCATCATGGAACCCTTCCAGTGCCCCACTGCCTGTGACCTCCTGGTGTCCTGTGACCCCCACAGAAGGTCTCTTGGCCTGCAAAGCTCGTTGGCCAACAGGTCAGACGGCACTGTGTGGAAAATTGTGGCCCAGGGCGCCGAGGGCACTTACCAATGAACTGGTTGTCACTGAACTTGAATCTGCAGATGACTTGGCTCTTCCACTTTGCGTTATGAAAGCCACGTCCATTAATGACCACCTGACTGGGGTCTGCAAGGGCAAAGGTCACAGTCTGTGCTGGGAAGAGCTGAGTTCTGAGCTCACATGAACCTCACCGGTCAGAGCGGTCCATGCCTTAACCAAATTCCAGGGTCCTTCAAGGAAGCCTCTGTGTGCACCATCATCTGTGTATGCACCTGGGCCCATGTGGTGGCGCCCGGCTGGGCCTCGTGCCTTGGGGGGTCCTTACCCTATGTCCCCTGGCCCTGCTAGGCACCCTACCTGGCCTCTCTTCAAGGGCAAACTCAGCAGCAACTTTCCCACCCTGCATCCTCGGTGCTCCTAAGGCCTCAGGGGTACAGGCCTTGGCTCGCCAGGCCCCTACTTATGCGGGGAGAGAGGGCAGCTAGCCCCACACAGCTGGAGACACCCCATGTCCTGCCTGAACTGGGGGCCTGGCCTGAGTGCCTACGGGGTCCGTCCTGCTCCTTGACTGTGCTGTGTCAGGGGAGACCCAGGCCTGGCTGGCGAATCCTGGGGCCTGCTGGGAGCATCCGTCCTGGACTCCTACAGTGGCAGCGGCGTGGCTCTAACCTCCTGCACACACCGTGGACGACTCCACAGAGGTCACTTCAATACAGGTATCTGAAGCGAGCTGGAATAGAGAGGTGGGTGGGTGGGGACTGGGACTGGGGGCACTGCTGAGATGGCACTCAGCCCTCACATCCAGCCCTGACTCACTGAGTCGACGATACCATGCAGGGCTTTGAATCCATTGTCCACTGCATACATGTGATTCGGACTGTCCGCAATTGCCACTATCTACAGGGGAAAGAGGAGGTTCGGGACCCCAGCCAGGACTAGAGTATCCAGCAGTCCCCAGACCCAGGAGGCGCTGTGCTGCCCTCAGGTCATGGGGACAGTGGGATGTCGAGGCTGACCCTGGCTTCTAGAGGTAATATTAGAATCCCCTTCTTAGGGAACGGGCAGTGTCACGCCCACATCTCTGGTGTGGTGGGTTGTGGAACACGTTGTCGCCCACCTCTTCCATGGGCTCTGCTGACTCACAGCACTGGGGTGGGGTGGGGGGAGGTGCAAGACTCTCCTCGGGGCCCAGGGAGAGCTCCCTGGAGCGACTTCTGCCCTCCTAGGCTCAAGGTGCCACCTGGAAGTCTGTTCTCAGTTACCTGATCTTTCTTATAATCCATCACACCCACAGTGTAAATGGTCGCCCCCATGCTCCGAGCCCTGTTAGCCTATGGGAGAGAGGGCGCTGAGTACAGACACCAAACCCAGGGAGCCAAACGCTGGGACGACGATGACGGACGGACTCACTTCCACTTGAGTGTCCCTAAATTGATCTGGATACAGTGTCCCATCCGTCAAAGCAATCATCATTATGGGAATCTTTTTACCTGCAGAAACAAAGAGTGGCCTGGTTATAATGACACCTAGAACTCTGGGTGTGTCACAGGCTGCCAGGGCCACAGCCTGCCCACTTCAGGGGGGACCTGTGCCCACCCTGGCCTCCTGGAGAGAGGCTGCCCAGACCCCAGCTCCCAGGGCTCATTTTCCGGGGGAGGGGACTGAGCCAACTTGGGGCCCTTCCTCCAGTGCCAGGCTGTCCCCGCTGGGCCCCGAGGGCAACTGCAGCCATCACTGGGACAGAGGAAGCTCCTATGATGAGCCAGGAGGGGGGCAACCAGGCCTGCTGCCAGAGGCCAGCTCAGGGAGGATCCGGAGAGCTGGGCCTGCTTGCGCAGAGCCTGCGACGTCCTGTGGTGTCCTCAGTCTAGTGCTGCTGGACCCCTGGCCAGGGCTCCCTGCACCCCCTCCAGGCCTTTCCCCTGTCGGGCCCCACCTCTTTCCTGACAAGAGTGCTAGTCTGCAGCCAGAGTCGGTTCTGGGCTGGACACGGCTTTTGCTATTGGACACAGCCCAGGGTCAGTCGCCCCGAGGGAGGACGTTCAAGGGAGAAGGAGGGAATGGTGTCGTCAGCCGGGGAGGCCAGGCTGTTTGCACAGTCGCAGTCCAAGGTCTGCCTGAGAGTCCTCAGCCTTCCTCTATTCCCTTCCCCTGAGCCTGGCTGGAGGGAAAGCCCCTCCTCCTCATTGAGAGCCAGAGGACCCACGGGCCCCATGCAGTTGTCAGGAGCACCTGGGGCAGGGTCCTCTGCTCCTTCCACAGGGAGGGGGCCTGGAGCCTTGATAGTGTAAGTGTGTGCTCCAAGAGCCAGTGCCAGAGGTGACAAGTGGGATCTGCATCCAAAGCGCTGAGGCTAACACCCAGCTCTGTCCCTGTCCCTGGCCCCGAGTATGGTGATGTCACAGGCAGCTCACCTGCAGAATTGGCTCTTCTCATCTGCTCGTTAGCCTGAGGGAAATGAAGGCATGGGGGAGGATGGTGAGTTGACCCCAGCCTTGCTCCAGGACTCGCTGAACCAGGAGAGGTTCCTAAATCTCTACGCAATTGTACCTTTTTAAATCCTTCCTGCATGAAGGTTGCTCCGTAAGTCCTGACTTGTTTAAGTCTCTCAAGACCTTGAATTATTTTTGTTCTGAAAGAAATTAGAAAGGGGATGAGGTGTAGAGGGTGACGGCTGAAGCCCAGCCCCACTGTCCTAGAGCTGCCGCACCCTGTGCAGACCCCCAGACCTGGGTGGGGCAGGGCCCCAGTGGCATGGCCTGTGACGTCGTTCCAGCCTGAGCCTTTGCTGGGCGGGTTTTGGCCATGTCTGTCTCTGATCAGGGGCACATGTGGGAGGACTGAGTGGAGTGGCTGGGCTGGTCCCAGGGAACAGTCCTGATTTCTCTTGACAGTCTCACGGCACTGGGGACCTGTGTCCTGCATGGACACAGGTTGTGCCACTGCTGTGCCCTGCAGGGACTCTACTGGGACAGATTCCCAGCCCTAACCATAACCTACCATTACCAATGAATTCACGTATGCCGCATAGGGACCCTTGTGAGCACAGACATTCCTAACCCTAAAACTAAAAACTCAAACCAACTTAAGTCTTTCTCTCCTAAACCCACGGCAGAGGACACAAAAACCAAGCCTTCTTCCAGCTCTCTGAGTGACCAGGGCCCTCTCCCGACCAAGCAGAAACTCCACAATTCCCACCGCTGGGGCTCACGGGTGCGTGGGGGCCATCTATAGCCCTTAATTGCTTGTCCTCACGCTCCCTCTTGCACCACCCAACCCTGCTGCTAAGGACCCACTCCCAGGGACACCTCTCTGGGACCCACCGGGGACCTCACTCCCTCCACAAGGCCTTAGCACATGCCCCTGGTTCAACTCTGTCGTCCTGCCCCATGGGCTCAGGGCAGAGTGACATGCATGTGGCAGTGTCTGACACAGAGTTCCTAGAGCACCTTCACCCCTGCCCACCAGCCTCCTTAAATTCTGGGAGACCTCCCACCCAGCCTTCCAGGGGAGAGGATGAACAGGGAAGAAGAGGGTAGAGGAGACAGAGACTTCTAGAGACACAGGGCTCAGTGGGTCCCAGTGTAGCCAGGGGGAGTGAGAGGGCTGCAAATGTGAGGCTTGGGTCAGGGCGGGATGAGAGGTGCAGGCAGCCCACCCTGTGTCCTGGCGGGCTCCCCACTGGGTCTCGAGAATCCCCTCAGCTCCCCGGAGCTCCAGTGGCCTGGCCGCCAGCCCTGCCCTGGGCGTCGAGGGAGCACTCACCTGTCTGAGGTGAGCGGCATCACAGTCTCACCTTCGTCGGAGTAGGTGATGAAGGACATGCGCACGTTCGGGCTGGGAGGGCAAGGAGCCCGTGAGGTGCCCACGCACAGGCAGGGAGGGGCGCGCCCATCTCCCCTCCCCCACCTCTTCCGCCCCAGGGCCCGTGCAGGACTCGGGGTGTGGGGTGACGCCACTGAAGCATCTGAGGCCCATGGAGACGTGGGACCCCAGGGGAGAGGGCCCAGGTGGCGTCTGCTGCTTCCCTGGAGTCCAGCAGCCCCCGAGAGCCCACAGACACAGCACGGGCACCACAAGCTGGGCATGCCGAGACCCAGGCTCCCCCACCCTACACGGGGCTGCCCCTCAGCAATCCAGGCCTCCCCTCTACTGCAGACTTCCCGTAGCTCACCCCCCGCCCCCCCGCCCTACCCAGAGGTAGCAGACATTTTCCCGGAGCGCAACCTTGAACACATCACTCCCTTGTCCAAGAACCTTCTGTGGCTTCCCGTGGTTCATAGCAAAAAACTTAAGCACCTTCCTGTATCCTGAGCTCCTGAGGTCTGGTCAAAGCTGCCCTGCCCTGCCTCATCTCCCAGCCCTCACCCGCGTTAACCCTGCTTCCCGGATGAAGCGGTCCACACCCCTTCACCAGATGTTACTGTGATGGCTTCTGTCCTCCATCTTTGTTTCTCTCTCTGAGACCCAATGCAAAATTCCAGTTCTTCGGGAAGCCATCCTTGGCTTTTTCTCCAGGAATTTGTGCTTTTCCCTCTAACCTGCCATGCTGAGTTCTTTGAAACTTCCCTTTAGGCTGTGACACCATTCCACCATTCCTCCCTTCTGCCTGTCTCGGGTTCCTGTCCTAGCCTGGAAGGGTCCCAGGGTAGACGTGGCCCCTGCAGTGTGCCCTGGTTTGTAGGTGGGAGCCCACCCATGCAGCTGAGATTCCAAGGAGGCCTAAGCTCTGTGCTCCTTTCCTGTTTTCAAATACTGCCTGGGCTGTGTGTTCCAACTGAGGGGCTCCCATGCCCTCCAAGTCAACCAGAGTGAGTTCTGCTTCCTGGAGGAGCAGCTCTGGAAGTAGAGGAGCCCACAGTGCAGAGTGGACTTACTTTTCAAGCTTCTTTACGATGCTCTCTGTAAACTTGTAAATTTCTATCCAGTTGCGCTTCACACTACCTGATCTGAAAGCAGAGGAGAAATGACTCAGGGGCTTGGGGCTCATTGCTGGGTGGGCAGTGTCTCTGCTCCCACCTTCCAGCGAGCTCTTTAACATGCTCCTCTGATCATGGAGGGACCTGGGACTCACCCTCAGGGACTACAGCAGGTCATCTAGGAGGGACCTGACTGCCTGGGATTGAAGGGCTTCCCAGGTTGAGGAGAGTTCAGAGGCCGCAAGGCTGGCCGAACACACCAGGAGGTGGCGGGTAGACAATAAACCGGGGAGTCTGCGTAGCTTGGAAGGACCCTTAGCTTTTCTGGTGGGTGGGCTCTCCCAGCCCCCTCCTGGCCTAGGTGTGACCATTCCCAGCTCTCTGTGTGCTGGGTAGAGGCAGGGTTCCCTGGCACCACTGCTATCAAAAGCCCTGGAAAGCCCCAGCCCCAGCCCAGGGAACCCTGACTTGGCTGAAACTTCCATGGCACACTGGGATTCTTAGCTGTTAGGCCTATCCCTGTGGGTGAGGATTCTTTCAGAAGGCTGCCAGCACTTCCTCACGACACCCCCGGCACTCACAGACTCAACATGTTACTGGAACAAGTTCAGACACGTAGACCAATGGAACACAATAGATAATCCAGAAATAAACCCCAAAACGTACAGCCAACTGATCTTTGACAAAAGACTCAAATAATGCAGCAGGGAAAAGAAAGTCTTTTCAGCCAATGTTACTGGAAGAACAGCACTTTGGCCTGCAAGGAAAGGAAACTAGGCCCCTGTATCTCACCATGAACAAAAATCACCTTGAAATCAAGTCAAAGGTTTGGATGTAAAACTTCAAGCATAAAACTATTGATGGAAAACAAAGAAAATGTTAAAGACATCAGAATAGGCAAAGCTTTCTTCAACAAGACCCCTAAAACACAGCAATGATCCCAAAAATAAATGAGTGGGATTTCATAAAACTAAAAAGCATCTGCACAGAGAAAGAAATAATTGAGTGAAGAGACAATCCTCAAAATAAGCATGAGTATTTTCAATATATGCTTTAGATAAGGAATTAATAACCATAATATTTAGGGAACTCATGTAGCTCATCTACACGCACACAAAGGGAGTAACCCGATGAAAAATTAGCCTAATGAATCAAACAGACAACTATCTAAGGAAGATATATGAGTGGCCAAGATACGAAAAATAATAAAAAAGCCAAAACATACAGAAAAAACATAAAATGGCAGAAATAAGTCCTTCCCTATCAGAACAACACTTGCACATCCATGTTTATTGCAGCATTATTCACAATTGCTACGATATAGAATCAATAAATGCCCCCAAATGGATGAATGGATTGAAAAACTATGACAATATTACGGGTACTTTATTTGCTTATGTATTTATCTGTACCATAAATCTGTTTGTGTTCATATGGAATATTACTTAGCATAAAGGACAGGAGATCCTGCCATTTGACTTAAAGTGTATGACTACAGAAGATTTTATGCTAAGCAACATAAAGCAGACTATGAAAGAGAAATACTGTATATCCCCGCTCAATATATACTGAGGAACTGGCAGGTAGTGTGGTGGTTAAGGGTACTGGACTCCCACATTGTAGACTGCAGTTTGAATCCTGGACCTGGCATCTTGCTTTCTCACATTCCTTCTCTCTTTCTCACACACACTCACTCTGGGCAAATTAAAATGAATAAATGAATAAACTTAAATAAAATTTTATGTATATGCGTGTGTGTGTGTGTGTGTGTGTGTAATTTGGTATATATATGTATATATATATATATTTGGTATATATACACAATCACACACATTTAGTATATATGTGTATATATCTGTATACTACAAGTCTGTATACTATGACAGAAATGGAAAGATCCAAAGATGCAAAGTAGGGAGGAAAGTGTAGATCAGTAAGTATATGAAAGAGGAGTAGATTTTAGAGGGTGGGTGAGAGAGTCTCATAGGAGCTCTTGTATTCTTATCAGATACAAGACTGTTAAGCTCTCTATTTAAAATTATGTTTGTGGTAATAGTCTTTATTGATTTTTGCATACAGCACTTGTATTTTGACAAATATACGGTGTGCTAGAGAGATGTCCAATGATAGAATGTAAATAACAAATCATAAAATAAAAAAATTAGAAAGATAAAAAAATTAAGATATTTAGTTAAAACAAAACAAAACGAAACAACTAAGCAAGTTATTACCATTACACCTGCCCTAATTAAGGGCTAAAGGGAGTCTATTAGGTCAAAATAGGACATAGGAGAATAACTCAAAGCCATATGAACACAAACAGATTTGTGGTACAGATAAATACATAAGCAAATAAAGTACCCGTAATATGGTCATATTGCTTTACAATTCCACTCTTTAATTTTTACAGAATTTAAAAGACAAATGCACTAACATCATTATAAATCCACGTTATTGTGCACACTATATGTAAAGATATTGTTTGTGACTTTGATAATATGAAGGGTAGGATGAAGTTGTATAGAACAGTGTATGCAGTCAAACTGAAGTTGATAGCACTTCAAATGGGACGGCTATAACGCCAGAATGTTACATGTGATTCCCATGAAACCGTACAGAATATGTCTGAAATACAGTTTGCACAAAAATGAATGAGAAAGAAGTTTCTGCTAAGAGCACACAAGAGAGAGATCAGGCCGGCATGATGAGGGACCGAGGGTCAGCCAGGACCACAGGGTAACTTTGCCCCTTGAGAAGATGAACCCCAGGGCACAGATGCTGAGACCACTTCTGCCTCAGAAAACAAGGAGGCCTCATTCAGGGTCTGACCTATAAACTGGCATGGTTCCTTCTCTTTCAGAAGCTGGGGGTCCACTGGGCTGTGCCCTTGTGATAATCAGGGGATGGCAGCTCCCAAGGACCAGCTAGGGCCAGGATACAAAGGGCTACTCACTTGTCCAGGATGAAGTAGAGGTCGAAGGCTCCCTGGCAGTTCTCGCTGGCCTCCCGGCGCCAGTGGTGCCGGTGGTGATGGGTCAATCTGGAGGCCCGGTCAAGGTGAGGAATCCTCCAGCTGGGGCCATGGGACAGGAAGCTTCTCGCTCTACACAGTGGAGGAGGCAGCAGCAGCAGGAAGAGGAGGAGTGCAGGGCAGGGTGCCCGGGGACCATGGCTCCCCATTTCCATGGCTGCCCTGTGACCCGCTGCTCTCCAATCCCTGGACCAGGGCCCAGACAGGCTGAATCTCACTCTGATCACCTTCTTTGCCACCTCAGCCTCTGACCAGGAGCTGGGGACCTTTCTGGCCTATCACTAATGGCACAGACCCTCCACCTGTACCAGCCCAGAGCCCAGGGACCAGGGGAAGTGGCTGGCTCTGGGTGACCTGACGGCAGCCCTCTGCACAGCCCTCCCCCCGACAGGGACAGAATTCCCTGTGCTCATGATTGACAGGAAGGTTGACATGGTGACTTTGTGACCTGCAGCTCTGCTCAGTGTCTTGCATGTTGACTTTACCAAGCAGGAGTCCTCAGGTCTTTAGAGAGGTGTCCCTTCCCTAGCCCCTCAGGAACCCTCCCTGTAGTCAGCTCACTGAGGGCAGCTGAGGTGGCTGAGATAAGGACACCGTGGTGGGTGAGGAGGTCAAGACCTGGGAGCCGGAGTGCGGGAATGGAGGGGTCGTTTGTGTGAACACTGAAGTCACCCTGTGGATGGCAGGATCTAGATGAACACTGTGCCATGCTGCCACTGTCCTTTGTGCTGAGGGATGTTCCCGTCATCTATGCTGTAACAGACCACCCTAACCTGAGTGACATGTGGCAGGCTCCATTTATTCTGCTCACAGGCTCTGTGGGTCAGATTCTCAAAGAGGGAAGAGTAGGGAGCGCTCCAAATGTCCGGGGCCTCCTGGGGAGAATGAGCAATCAGATAGTACTTGATGATGAGGCCAGGGGTTATCTGGAAGCTTCTTCACTTACATGTGTGGCTTCTAGGTACAGGAGAGTTGGGATGTGATGGCCTGGAGAGCCTGCCTGTGACCTCTCTCCATGTGACTTGGGCTTCTTCCCATCATGGTGGCTTTGGGGTGGTTGGGCATTTTACCTGGCAGCCTAGAGTTCCAAGAGGGAGGATTTACTGTGATCTAGGCAGAAACAGTAGAGCCTTTGATGACATCACCTGGGAAGCCACAGTGTCACTTCTACTCTATTCTATTGGTTAAAGCCACAACAAGCCTGCCAAGATTCACTGGGGCGTGGCCGGGTAGGTGGTGTCAGAGATCTGCCTCTCAGTGGAGGAGAGCAGGTGAGTTTGCACCTGTGCTTAGTGATGGCTGTGTCACCAGTGCTTTGAATGGCAGGAGGCCGTGCTGTGTGGGAGAATGTAGGCTGGGAAAATTTTCATTCAACAGGCATTCAGTAAGGTCAGATTAAATGAAAAACATTTAGAGATAACTCAATTTTATTTTCTTCATTTTGTATACATGGGAGAGTCATGGTTGCAAATCTAATAATTCTGAAATAGATCTTTCTAGATGTAGAACACAAAAATTAGAAATAATGGAATGCTTAGGTTAAGAGGATTCTTTCTGTTTTCTGTTTTTTTTTTTTTTTTTTTTTTTTTTTTTTTTTTTCTTGGATATCTCTACCGTGGTATTTTAAACTTTAAAACCAGTGAAATCCAGTTGCTTAAGCCTCTTCCATTTTATGTTACTTTTTCCCCCTATAATTCAAGTTACAGGTTCTCCTTTAGCCACAGGGCAGCTACTTCCCTCCAGTTATGATGACCACACTCGTGATGCTCAGACTCTAACTTTCCTTTCTCTTACAGAATATAATCATTCAATTTTAGCTTGCACCTTCTATTCACCCACCTAAGTTACTTTCAGTTTGCCCAGCCTCAGCAGAATATTCCTGGGACAGCATTTCTTCACAGTCAGGCTTTCCAAAATGGACCCCCTGTGTTTTTCCTAAATACATGGTTTGTTATTTCTTAAATAATTTTGCCTTCTCTTTGTTTGACAGCTTCCCATGTTAATAAATTAACTCTTAATGTCTCCACTGCCTTGTTTAAACAAGAACAAATTGACCAACAACTGGCTGACAAAATTAATGCCCTAGAAAAAGCAGTTCTAAACTTAGGACAAAAAATTCAAAATATTAAAGTCCAGTTGACTACTGCCTGTCATGCTAATTACAAATGGATCTGTGTTACTACTTTACCTTACAATCACACACAAATTACCTGGGAACAAATTCAATCTCACCTCAGAGGGGCCTTCAACCATTCTCTCACCATAGACTTATAAAAATTACTGACATTATGAAAATTTCCAAATCCCATTTGGACTCCATAACACCCTCTGATGTGGCCAATGGTATTGTGTCCTCCTTACTTGGTGCATTCACCAATTCCAAACACTTATTCTCTATGCTATTTTATTCAGCCGGAGGACTTTTTGGACTTATCTTCCTATGTTTGTTTTGCTTTCCAGTTATCATCAAACAGTTCCATTCCACCATATCATCAATAGAAACTAAAGTTCACCTCCCCAAACTTCAAAATAAAAAAGGGGGAGATGGAGGAGTCTGACCCGGTAGGGCCCCAGGATCTGTTTTGAGCTTTTGACCTCTACCTCTTAGGTCGGGTCAGCACGTTGGCAAGGCCACTGCTGTGTACGCCTCTCCCCCACCCCCCTCGCCACCCCCTGACCTAGTAATAAAACTTAGGTCGAATTAGCATGTCGGCAGGGCCGCTTGCTATTTGCTCCGGAAACTGTGGTAGCCTTGCTGGGAAGCGACCCCCCCTCTGACTCTCCAATATACTACTATAAAAGAATTACATAGCTCTCTTATACATCCTGAGTATATGATAAAAATTTCCAGGAAGTCCCCCGACCTCTCCCCTTTGGTCTGACCACCTACTGTTAATTACAATGCTTTACTCCGGACAGTCACAATAGAGGGTGTGATGAGGTCACATCTAGGCAGAAATCTTCTTGACCTTTGGAAGGCCCTTCAAGATACATTGAACATAAGCTTAAGAATAATCTTTTAGGCCAAAACGGGCCCAGGGTACTCCCGCCCCACTATGGCTAATGTTCTAACAAAATACATAGAAGTGGCTCCACAGACACAATAGAAAGTTTTAAGAATGCCACAAGCTCACCTTAAAGTTCTTCATTAACTTGTTAGTCACTTTACTGCCAATTAAAAAAGCTGTCCCCGCCCTTACTTAGTAAGCAGTAGTTTTACCCCTTTTAAGATATATTAGGAATCCTTGAATTAAGTTTTAGATCCCTATAAAATTATATAAGTTCCATTCTTTATTGAGATTCATAAGAACTAATATCTATACTTGAGATTTTCTTTTCTCAGTATCGTGCTCAGTAATCACAAGACGGCTGCCGCACCACATCAGCTGATAATTATCTCTGCTTGCTGGAGCTGCTTTCCTGAAACTGGATTCCATGAAGACACCTACATCAAACAAACAATTGTGGAACTGCACTAGACCCACCCTTAATCCAACCCTGAATGGAACCCATGCTCCCTATTGTTAAAACTTTATGAGTTGATAATTAGAACACGTAGCCCCTCACCCATTTACTTGCATGTAACACATTTTCAATAAAAAGGCACGATAAGTCCTAGCAGTGGCTCTTCAGAGAGCGATCTCTGAGGGGTGTCCGACTCAGGACGTGCATGAAAAGGCACCAAGACCTTTGTCTTCTGTTCACCTGTGCCACCTCCGACGAGTCAACCCACCCCCGCCCCGAAGCTGGACCCCGGCAAGACCTCAACATGAAAGACAAATCTTTATTACTTTAAAAATAAAATGTATTTTATTTTTATTTCCTTTTGTAGGAAAGAATTTCATAAGATATAAAACAGAACAAAGTTAACATTCAAGAATATGACAAATATGCTTTAAAATTAAAAATTACTTTTTAAAAGACCATAAATACAAGAAAAAAGTAGTTACATAGCAAGAAATTATTGATCAAGGATTAGAATCCTGACTAGATCAAGATATGAAAAAAGACACCCTAGTCAGAGAATGGATCTAGGCAGGGATAGTAACTTCACAAAAGAGGAGACAGGATGACCCTAACCAGTGTTAATAAATGACCACCCTCATCACTAGTCCTCAAAGTGCAATTGAAGACCAAAGAGATGTCTAATGACTAGCGAAAAATATAGAAATATGATGATAGCGAGCATAATGAAGGCTGTGAAGGAAGAGAACCCTAAGAAGACTCTTGGGGAAGTCTACTGGATTTCATCACTTTTAACTACCACAGTAAAGATATTCAAACGAAAACCAAGAAACAAAAAATTCCTTCAACCCAAGATTTTCATCATTACAATTTGTGTGTTCTGTATCTAGAAAGATATATTTTATGCTTATTAGAGAAGGATTTCTAATCACTCTCATGCATACATAAATGAAGAAATAAAACTGAGGTATCTAAAAGTGTTTTTCATTCAGTCTGACTTTGCTGAATGCCTTTTGAATGGAAGTTGTCTCAGCCTGCATTCGCCCACACAACACAGCCTCCTGTTATTCAAAGTACTGGTGACACAACAGTCTATAAGCACAGGTGCAAACTCATATGCCCTCCTCCATTGAGAGGCGGGTCTATGTTCCTACCCAGTGAATCCTGGTAGGCTTCCTACAGCTTTGACCAACAGACTAGAGTGGAAGGGACACTGTGACTTCCCAGGTGATGTCATAAAGGGCTCAACAGTTCCTTCTTGAATCAGGAAATACTCACTCTTGGAGCTCTAGGCCGCCAGGTAAAATGTCTCAGTTACCCTCAAGTCACCATGCTGGTAGGAGGCCCAAGTCACATGGAGAGAGGCCACATGCAGGCTCTCCATGGCCATCCCAGCCCTGTGCAGCCTTGAGATATTGTACCCAGGAGCCACGTATGTGAGTGAAGAAGCTTCCAGATAACCCCAGACCCCATCATCAAGTGCTATCTGGCTGCTTAATCTTCCCAGGAGAACCTGGATGTGGGGAGCCCTCCCCACTCTGCTTTCCCTGAGAATCCAATCCACAGAACCTATGAGCAGAATAAATGGAGCCTGCCACATGTCACTCAGGTTAGGGTGGTCTGTTATAGCATAGAGAACAGTAACATGCCTCAACACAAAGGACAATGGCAACGTGGCACAGTGTTCATTTCCCAGACCTTGTCATTCCCAGGGTGACTTCAGTATTTATACAAACGACCTCTCCATTCCCTCACTCCCACTCCCAGGTCTTGATCTCCTGGCACCCACGGTGTCCTTATCTCAGCCACCTCAGCTGCCCTCAGTGAGCTGACTACAGGCAGGGTTCCTTGAGGGGTTGGGGAAGGGACACATGGAGGCCTTAACTTATACCCTCTTGAAATATCTTAGAACTCCTGCTAGGTAATGTCAACATGCAAGACGCTGAGCAGAGCTGCAGGTCACAAAGTCACCATGTCAACCTTCCTGTCAATCATGAGCACAGGGAATTCTGTCCCTGTCGGGGGGAGGGCTGTGCAGAGGGCTGCCGTCAGGTCACCCAGAGCCAGCCACTTCCCCTGGTCCCTGGGCTCTGGGCTGGTACAGGTGGGGGGCTACGTGTTGTTGGTGATAGAGTGGAAGGGGCTCCTGACCCTGGGCAGAGGCAAAGACAGTAGAAAAGCTGGCCAGAGAAGGCCAGACCCAGCCTGCCTTAGCCCTGGTCCAGGGACTGGAGAGTGAGTGGGTCACAGGGCAGCCATGGAACTGGGGAGCCATGGTCCCTGGTTGCCCTGCTCTGTGCTCCTCCTCCTGCTGCTGCCCCCTCCACTGTGTAGAGCGAGAAGCTTCTTGTACTATGGCCCCAGCTGGAGGATCCCCCACCTTGGCCAGGCCTCCCGATGGACCCACAACCGCCGTGGCCTAGTGCTACGGCACCACTGGCGCCAGCAGGCCAGCAAGTCCAACTGCCAGGGAGCCTTCGACCTCTACTTCATCCTGGACAAGTGAGTGGCCCTTCACATCCGGGCCCCAGGCGGTCTTCGGGAGCTGTCACCCTTGGGTCATCACAAGGGAACAGCCAGAGGACCCCAGCTTCTGAAAGAGGAGGAGCCAGGCCAGTTCATAGGTCAGACCCTGAATGAGGCCTCCTTGTTTTCTGAGGCAGAAAGGAGTCTCAGCATCTGAGCCCTAGGGTTCGTCTTCCCAAGGGGTAAAGCCACCCTGTGGTCTGGCTGACCCTCGGTCCCTCATCAGCCTGGTCTGATCTCCATGAGTCCTTTAAGCAGCTGGCTGCTAACAGCTGCCTCTCCGCTGGTGCTTTCGAAACTCACTCTGTGCTGGGAGTGCTCTTGTTCCTTTGTTTTGTTCTGGCTTCTGCCCAGGTGACTTACTCTTTCACTGAGCCCCTCAGAGCTGGCTCCCTGGCCTGCTGGGAGTCTAGCGTGTCTCTGCTTAGCTCCGTGCCTTCGTGCTTCTAAGTGTGGGTTTTCTCTTCCACAACCAGAGCGCCTCATGGCCACACCTGCAGGCACCATGCGCCCCGTCTCCCATGTGGCCTGGATAAGCCCAGCTGAGCACGAGGCACCTGCTGGCTCTCAAAGAAGGAAAGGGGTGGGGAGGCCTCCGTCTTGGTGGGATCGTCCTCCGTTTGCAGCTCCATTTGCAGCTCCTGCTGTTGGGCTGGAATGTTCTGCTCCCTCAGCAGTGGCAGTGCCCGCCTGGCTGCATGCTGTCGAAGCCCTTCACTGTCCCCAATGCCCTCCCCACACCTCTGGCACCCTCAAGACCACCCCGGGCTGGAGCATAGTAAGGGAGTTTCTGTGGGATCTCTTGGGAGAGGGGTGGGCTCCTGGTGGAGTGCCCAGGGGCTGGCGGTGTGACAGACGTGGGCTTCCTGTGCTGGGTCTTTCCACCGTCCCGGATGGCACACCCTCTGCTTTCTCTCCTTCTCCATGGATCCTGAAGCCTGAGACCGGGGCCCAGCCCAGCTCCCAAGTCTAAGCAGCAATGACAAGACCCTTGTCTCCTGGACCCAGGATGAATGGGACAGGCTTTGGGGAGTAACATGACGTTAAGCGAGCACTTGCCACATGTGAGGACCATACTCAGGCCTTCAGACGGCCTGCGGTTCAGGGAGCAGGCCTACTTCCCCACTTTAGGAATGCCTCTCTCCGGCCGGCAGGGGCTGAGAGATTAGTGAGTGCAGGACTGTCATGGGCCTCGTCTGCCTTGGGCAAAGTTCAGCTTTCCAAACGCCCTGTGTCCACAGCAGCTTCAAATGCCCTATTTCCCACGTGGCGTCCCTGCTTCTGCTCGGCACCTTGCCTGGCCTATCGTTACGGCTCCACACCCGGCGACAATAGGCATCTGAGGGTCGTCAGCCCTGGGGTACCTGCAGCCTTCAGGAGCACTGCGTAGCCAGGTGTCCTCCTAGCTCCTGGGCTGTGCAAGGAGAGTGGAGGGCGCCAGCTCTCCGGGTGTCCCCCAGCTGGGCGACAAGAGCGGGTAACAGTAACCGGCAAGGGAGGTGTGCTCTGGCCCCTCAGGGTCAAGCAGGACAGTTAGAACTAGGCCCTGCTCCAGCCCCGAACTGCCCCACGCTGGGCATGAGATGGGGACGGTCAGCAGGGACACAGCATCCTAGTTTGCATTTTGAAGGTGGTTGTGCCCAGCTGGGCATTTGCGTTATTGCTCCTGGGAGGCTGATTTCAAGACCTCCCGCAGGGCCAGCTCACATCGGTTGTGGTGGTGAGTGGCTTCTGCATGGAGGAAAAGGGCTTGGAGCTTCTAAATCCATTTACTCCTTGATACCAGTTTTTCTTAGTAATTCCATGTCTACATTTATCTAGGAAATCGTTGAAGATGAACTACATTTAAATGTCAAATTCTGTAACAGGACTCACAGCAAAAACGCCCGGCTCCTCCCCACATCTCCTGTCGGTTCACCTTCCCAGGGAAGCCCCTGGCAATGCGCGCTGTCCCTGCTGACTTCAGACCCTGCTCCCACACACGCCTGCATGAGCTGCCTCTACTGTTGCACCAGGGTGATTTCTCACTCCGGGAAAGAACATGGGCCTTCTCACAGCTCAGCCCCTGAAGGGCTGCATACTCCTCACCCTCTTTACCGCGACGTCTTTGGCCACGAATGCTGCGGTGGAGGCGTCCACACCTGTCAGCTCCTCCGTCTCTCTGTTCTCATGCACGCACGAGTGGAGCGCTGCATTTTAGACACCACGTGGTTTACACTATTCCGTGCTGCCTCCTCTAGAGACCTGGGGTCCCTGGGGTCGTCTGCACTGCCCCCAGCCACTCTTTCTTCTGTGGACCAGCATCTAGAACCTTCTTCAACATCATCCCACACTGGTTACCAGAGTAAGGGCTGGACAGTCGTGGTCCCCATAAACCTTCATGAAAGGGTCTTTGCACTCTGGGAGGGGAAAGGAGCGAGAAGGGAAGGGTGGAGCGTTGCTGTCCGGGAGAGGGGAGCACCCCGTGCACGCTGGCCTGGGGGTGCTGAGGGCAGCCTCTGTGGCACGCGGGCTTCACATCCTAGTGTTTCCTCACCCGCAATGGCTGGTCACCACAGCGTCACAGACACACTGAGCGCGATCAGCATGAGTTTTGCACATTGATGAGGGTTCGAATCCACGCCAGCTACAAATACTGAGACTACGTGCTCAACAAACGAGAACCTTGGTTTCTCATCTAAAAGTGGCAGTGACGCGAACACTGGCCGGACAACGAGGCAGGGAATCGTGCCCAGCGTCTCACACGTGTGCTGTCATGCCAGCCCTGTGCAGAAGTGCCTCCGTGCTTTCTCGTTGTCTGTGTGGTCCTAGATGCTGCCGGGGAGGGCAGGACGGGAGAGGAGGTGGGGTGAGTGACCACACCCCAGCGGGACTTTCGGGAGGTCCACGTCTGTGGTGCGGTGACGGCCGAGGGTGGGGCAGGGCCTCGGCGGGGCGGGTGGGGGGCGTCCCCTGGCTCACAGGACCGTGAATGACATGAGCCAGCACGGGTCCAGGGAAGGAGCCGGGCGAGGGCAGCAGCTCAGATGCCCCCTGCACCGTCCCTGTGACCTCGGACAGGAACTTGGCCTGGGAGCCACATTCCCCTTCTGTAACCGGGCATAGCCCCCGTCTCCGCAGTGCCGCAGACTGCCAGAGCTGTGCCTGCAACGGCCTCTGCCCCGGGCAGGCGGGGGGGACACAGTGATCCTCACTGACATAGCAGGTGGCCAAGGCGCTGACCCCCAGCTCCTCTCTCTCCATCAGGGTCTAAGTGGGAGAAACAGAGCAGGGTCTGGAGTGGGGTCGGCATGGCCTGGGCATGGCTCTCCCTGCTGGTGGACTTGGTGACACCAGAGCAGCATGACGGCTGATCCCGTTGTCCCCTGGCAGTGCCGACCAGGAAAGTTCTCTGTACCTGAAGAGCTCGCCGTCACAGGCCTCTATGGAAGCTGGAGACGCAGGGTCTTGCCGCCCACGCTCCCATGCGGAAGGCCCCTACCTGCGTCTGTGGGTGCTGGGGAGCCTAGGGAGGGCACGGGACCTGGGGGTGTCACGAGGAAGGGCTGGCAGGTCAGATAAGGGCTTCTGAAAGGATCCCTACCCGGAGGGTCACACCCGACAGCCACGAATCTGAGTGCACCATGCAAGTTCCGGCAGGTCGGGGTTCCCTGGGCTGGGGCTGGGGTTCTCCAGAGGTTTTGGTGGCAGTGGGCCAGGACCCCTGCCCCCAACCAGCACACAGAGAGCTGGGAATGGCCATGCCAAGGCTGGGTGGGGGCCAGCAGAGCCCACCTACCAGAACGGCTAGGGGCTTCTCCAGCTGTGCCTGCTCCCTGGTCCTGGCTTACACGGCCCTGCCTGTGCCCAGGCAGCCTCCAGCTCTGCTCGTCTGGGACTCCCCTCAGCCCCAGGCAGTCGGGACACCCCTGTCACCCTGAGCAGAGTCAGCACCCAGGATAACGCGCTGTGGTCCCTGAGGGCGAGTCCCAGGCCCTGCACGGTCGGAGGAGCATGTTAGAGAGCCTCCTGGAAGGTGGGGGCAGGCGCTGCCCGGCCAGCCGTGATCCCAGCCCCTGATCTGTGCCCTCCCTCTCAGGTCAGGCAGTGTGAGCGACAACCCAGCCGCGAGCCCAGCCCCTGATCTGTGCCCTCCCTCTCAGGTCAGGCAGTGTGAGCGACAACCCAGCCACGAGCCCAGCCCCTGATCTGTGCCCTCCTTCTCAGGTCAGGCAGTGTGAACAACAACTGGATTGACATTTACTTGCTTGTGGAGAACCTCGTGAAGAGGCTCCAGGGGTAAGTCTTCTCTGTGGGCTTGGGCTGCTGGGGTGTTTCCTCTGGGAGGCAGAACTCAGTCTGTTCAACATGGTGGCATAGGAGTCCCATGGTGGGAGCACAGTCCCGGGCAGCGTTGGAGTCAGGAAAGGAGCACAGAGCGCAGGGCGACAAGCCAGGAGATACTGCAGGGGTGCATCTGCTCTGGGGCCCTTCGGGGCTGAGACAGGAACCTCAGACAGGTGGGAAGGAGGCTCCATTACTGAACACCTGGTAGAATGGTGTTGAGGGCCAACGGAAAGGGTTAACATCCTCGCTGAAGAACGTAAAAGAAAAAGCACAAATTTCCGGAGGAAAGGTCAAGCTTGGCTTCCTGGGGAACTGGAGATTTGAACTGGGTCTTAGAGCATGGAGCAAAGGGAGGGCAGGAGCTATCACGGCCACCTCTGCTGGGAACGTGGCCTGCTTCGCCCTGGGGCGCACGGTTACCTCGGGTGAGGGTGGGAGATGAGGGTGGACAGGCAACTTGGACCAGGCCTCAGGGCCTCAGGATGCAGGAAGGCACTGAGAGTCCCTGCTGTGAGCCCCAGGGAGCCCTGAAGGTCTTGGACAGGGGTGATGTGATTAAGGCTATGACTCCAGGGAAGCAGCAGACGCCACCTGGGCCCTCTCCCCTGGGGCCCCACGTCTCCATGGGCCTCAGATGCTTCAGTGACGTCACCCCACACCCCGAATCCTGCACGGGCCCTGGGGTGGAAGAGGTGGGGGAGGGGAAATGGGCGCGCCCCTCCCTGCCTGTGCGTGGGCACCTCACGGGCTCCTTGCCCTCCCCAGCCCGAACGTGCGCATGTCCTTCATCACCTACTCCGACGAAGGTGAGACTGTGATGCCGCTCACCGCAAACAAGTGAGTGCTCCCTCGACGCCCAGGGCAGGGCTGGCGGCCAGGCCACTGGAGCTCCGGGGAGCTGAGGTGTCCTCGGGACTCAGTGTGGAGGCCACCAGGACACTGGGCACCTCTCATCCTGCCCTGATCCAAGCCCCAGATTCCTGGTCCCTCACTACCCCAGCTTCATGGGTATTTGCAGACTCCTGAGCTTCTAAATGATCTCTGTCTCCCCCATCCTCCTCTCCCCTCTCTTCCCTCTCCCTTGGGAGGCTGGCTGGGAGGACTCCTGGGATCCAGGGAGACTGGAGGGCATGTGAGGGTACTCTATGAACACCCTGTTGGGCACTTCTACATGCATGTCATTCTGCCCAGAGCCTGTGGGGCAGGGAGCTGGGAATGAAGCGGGGCAGCTCCTGGGGCCTTCTCTTGGGAGTGAGATCTCTTGGTGACTCTCAGATGAGGAGCCCAGGAGTGGGGTCCTGAGCATCAGGCTGGGCTGGGTCTTGGAGGGAGGTGTGAGGAGAAGCACACAGAGGATGTAGGTGACCTGTGTGTGCCCAGAGACCTCGATGCCCAGAGGTGGGAAGCTGTGTAGTTTTTGATTGGCTGGGAGGTACAGGGAGGTGGATGGCCACCCTGTGGGCTGAGAATGACTGGATTTTCTGGGTTCTGTGCTGTGGGTGTGGGAGAGAGAGCGCTGCATTGTGTGTTTAGTTTTAGGGTTAGGATTGAGGGTCCCTACCCAACAGGTGCATGTTCATGGCTTACAGCTGGGCTAGAGTTAGGGATAGGAGTGTTGGCCTCAGTGGGAGCCCTCACTGCAGTGCACCCTGTTGCTCTCATGGGAGTGCAATAAATTAAGGTTAGGGTTGGAGGAGGCAGACTTGTAAGGAGTCCCTGGCCAAGGGTGTACATGCATGGGCTAGGACTGCATTAGGGGTAGATTAGGAGTCCCTGAGCCACAGGTCTGTGTCCATGGGTGAGGAGGGCTGGCTTGGTGAGATTTAGAGGTGGGTCTTTACTGGGGTCCATGACTCCTGGTGCACGTTGATGGGATGCTCCCATGCTGTAATGGACAGCAGGGAGTGCCCTTGGTATGTCTCCAAGGCCTGAGCGTCCTGAGAGACATGAGCTTAAAGAGAGCATCGGGGCTCATGAGGCTATCCCAGTGATGCCACTCAGTCTTCCCAAATGCTTCCCTGATCAGAGGCAGACCTGGCCAGAAACCTCCTGCCACAGGCATAGGCCAGATGGGGAGTTACAGAGCCTGTGGCGAAGGCCCTGCCCTACCCAGGTCCGAGTGGGTCTGCAGAGTGGGCTGCAGGTCCAGGACAGTGTGGGACAGCTTCAGCAGTCACCCTTCCACGCCTCAGCCCGTGTTTCCTTGTTTTATTTTTCAGAAGATACATAGCTTATGGTCTTAAGCTGCTTCAGAGAGTGACGCCTTTAGGAACAACATTAATGCAGGAAGGATTTAAAAGGGTACAGACCCCTGGAGCTCTGGGAATCTCTCCTGGTTCAGCGGGTCCTGGAGCACTGCTGGGGTCAACTCACTGTCCTCTCCCAATGCCCTTCGTTTCCCTCAGGCTATCGAGCAGATTAAATCTGCCAACTCTGGAGGTAAGCTGCCTCCGACCTCACTATTGTCAGGGACAGGGTCAGGGACAACGACCAAGTCGGGCATTAGTCTCGGAGCTCTGGGTGCAGATCCCACTTGTCACCTCTGGCACTGGCTCTTGGAGCACACACTTACACTATCAAGGCTCCAGGCCCCCTCCCTGTGGAAGGAGCAGAGGACCCTGCCCCAGGTGCTCCTGACAACTGCATGGGGCCCGTGGGTCCTTTGGCTCTCAATGAGGAGGAGGGGCTTTCCCTCCAGCCAGGCTCAGGGGAAGGGAATAGAGGAAGGCTGAGGACTCTCAGGCAGACCTTGGACTGCGACTGTGCAAACAGCCTGGCCTCCCTGGCTGACGACACCATTCCCTCCTTCTCCCTTGAACGTCCTCCCTTGGGGCGACTGACCCTGGGCTGTGTCCAATAGCAAAGGCCGTGTCCCGCCCAGAACCGACTCTGGCTGCAGACTAGCACTCTTGTCAGGAAAGAGGTGGGGCCCGACAGGGAAAGGCCTGGAGGGGGTGCAGGGAGCCCTGGCCAGGGGTCCAGCAGCACTAGACTGAGGACACCACAGGACATCGCAGGCTCTGCGCAAGCAGGCCCAGCCCTCTGGAGCCTCCCTGAGCCGGCCTCTGGCAGCAGGCCTGGCTGCCCCCCTCCTGGCTTATCACAGGAGCTTCCTCTGTCCCAGTGATGGCTGCAGTTGCCCTCGGGGCCCAGCAGGGACAGCCTGGCACTGGAGGAAGGGCCCCGAGTTGGCTCAGTCCCCTCCCCCAGAAAATGGGCCCTGGAAGCTGGGGTCTGGGCAGCCTCTCCCCAGGAGGCCAGGGTAGGCACAGGTCTCTCCTAAAGTGGGCAGGCTGTGGCCCTGGCAGCCTGTGACACACCCAGAGTTCTAGGGTCTTTCCTGGTGCCTTTACAACCAGGCCACTCCTTGTTTCTGCAGCCACCAAGGTTCCCAGCATGATCATCGCTTTGACTGATGGGACACTGTATCCAGAACCTTTTAAAGCGACTCAAGAGGAAGTGAGTCCGTCCATTGTTACCAGCATTTGGCTCCCTACATTTTGGTGATTTGTACTCAGCGCCTTCTCTCCCTTAGGCTAACAAGGCTCGGAGCTTGGGGGCGACCGTTTACACTGTGGGTGTGTTGTCTTATAAGAAAGATCAGGTAATTGGAAACAGACCTCCAGGTGGCTTGAGCCAAGGTGGGCAGAAGTTGTCCTAAGGGGGCTTTTCCTGGGCCACCCAAACAGGGTCTTCATTTAAAAAAAAAATTAAGATTGTCTTCACATTTTACATATAGTCTTCATAATGATGCATACAATTTTTTCCAGCAGAGAACTTCTACATATTTTGCTCTGATAAGTGTTTCTTCACATTCAATTCTTTTTTTTTTTCCGCTATAGGGCGCGTGCGCTCGCCAGACAGACAGAGAGAGACATAGAGACAGAAAGCGAGAAATCACCCCCCAGGGGGGATGGTCACGCCACAATCCCTTCTCCTCCATTCTCCTCTTGGGATCTTGGGCAGGTACGCACACGCGCCCGGCGTGAGTTTTAAGCCACCGGGTCCGGGACGCAAACCGCGGTCGACTACATGGGAGTCCAGCGACATAGCCATTACGCTAACTGCTGGTTCCCCACATTCAATTCTTCACACCCACCCACTACCACCTACTCCCCTCCCTACAATCTCTGCTATTTACATTTGTCCTTTCTACTATCGTCACTGGATCTTTCAATTCCTGCTTTATAGTGCAGATATTTGGTACAAAGTAAGTGGGGACATACAGTGTATGTCTTTCAAAGTCTGGCTCAATTTGCTCAACATTAACTCTTCTATATTCATCCACTTTTGACCAAATGATAGGGTTTCATTGTGTCTTATAACTGAGTAATATTCCATAGTATGTATTGACATGTGCCTCAGTTTTTCAACCTGGTCATTGGATTTTGAACACTTAGGTTGATCCCATGTTTTAGCAATTGTGAATAATGCTATAATAAACATGGATGTGCAAATGTCTTTCTTTTTTATTGGAGAGGTTTTTTGTTTGTTTGTTTGTTTGTTTGTTTTTTTGGATACAGGGCACTTGCGATCACCAGAGAGACACAGAGAGACAGAAAGTGAGAAATCATTATCCTCTTGGAATCTTGGGCATGCACTCACACACGCCCTGGTGTGAGTTTAAGCCACCGGGTCCAGGACTTGTACTGCAGTCGACTACATGGGAGTTCAGCGACATAGCCATTACGTAACTGCTGGTACCCAAATGTCTTTCTGAACAAGTATTTTCCTATTCCTTGGGTAAATACCAAGGAGTGGGACTGCTTGGTCCTATAGTAATTCTATTTGTAGGTTTTTGAGGCACCTCCATGTTATTTTCCACAGAGGTTGGACTAATTTACATTCCCAGTAACAATGTAAGAGGGCTCCCTTTTCCCCACAGCCTTGCCAATACTTGGTTTGTATTTTTCTCATCCTAGCCACTCTAACAGGGGTTAAAGGTATCTCATTGTAGTTTTAATTTGCATTCCCTTATGACAAGAGACTTTGAACATTTTTTTCATATGCCTTGTGGCCATTCTTAAATCTTCCTTGAAGAGTTGTCTATTCAATTCATTTGCCCATTTTTTTATTGGATTATTCATTTTTTAATGGGTGAGTTGCTTGATTTCCTATGTATTTTGGTGATTAATTCTTATCTGAGGAATAATTTACAAATATTTTCTCCCATTCTGAGGGTTGTCTTTTCACTCTAATTATTGTTTCCTTTTCTGTGAGGAAGCTTTTTAGCTTGATGTAATCCCACTTGTCTATTTTGGGGATTATTGCCTGTTCCTTGGGATCTCATTTAAGAAATTTTTGTCTACTGCAGTGTCTTCAATAGTTTCCCCTATTTTTTCTACTAGTAATTTTATAGTTTGAGGCTTTACATTTAAATCTTTGATTCTTTTAAGTTGATTCTTGTAATGGTGAGAGATAGGGGTCCAATTTCATTTTCTGCTGGTGAATATCTAGTTCATCTAGCACTATTTGCTGAAAATACCTTCTTTTCTCCATTGCATAGTTTTGTACATTTGTCAAAGATGAGCTGAATGTATGATGTGGGATTTTTTCCCCTGGATTTTTCTATCTATTCCATTGGTCTATATGTCTGTTTTTGTGCCACTGCCATGCTGTTTTGATTATCACCATTTTGTAATATATTTTGAAGTCAGGTAATTAGATACTTTTCTTTTTGCACAGTATTGCCTTGGTGATACATGGATTTTTATGATTCCAGACAAATTTTATAATTGTTTTTTTTCTAATCCTGTGAAGAATGTCACTAGCAATTGAATTGGAATCTCATTGAATATGTAAATTAATTTGGGTAGAACTGGCCTTTTGATTATATTGATTTTTCTAATTCAAAAACACAAGATGCCTTTCTTTCTTTTTTTTTGGTATCATACTCTACTTTTTTTTTCTTTTTCCATAATTTTCCTTGTAGAAGTCTTTCACCTCTTTGATTAGGTTTATTTCAAGGTATCTTATTCATTTTGTGACTATTGCAAATGGAATTGCTTTCTTCAATTCTTTTTCAGTTTGTTCATTGTTGGTGTATAAAAATGCTATAGATTTTTATATATTGATTTTGTATCCTGCTACTTTCCTGAATCCACTCTTCACTTCTGGGAGTTTTTTTCATGGGTTCCTTTAGATTTTCCATGTATATAATCATATTATCTGCAATTAGGGACAATTTAACTTCTTTTCCTATCTGAATGCCTTTTGTTTTGCTCTCTCGTCTGATTGCACTAGCTAGGACTTCCAGCACTATGTTGAAAAGGAGTGGAGAAAGGGGCAGCCTTGTCTCGTTCCAGTGTTTAGTGGAGAAGCTTTTAACTTTTCCCCATTCAGTATAATGTTAGCAAGGAGTCTGTAATATATGGCTTTTATTGTGTTGAGAAATGTCCCTTCTACCCCTTTTTTTTCCTTGTGAACACTAATGACTATGATCTTCCACCTTATAATTACTTTTGTTGTGTCCCAAAGGATATGGAGAGTGTACGTCCATTATTATTGGTTTCAGTGCATCTTTTTTTTTTTTTTTGAGAGATTTTCACTGTAAGGCACGTGCGCTCGTCAGACAGACAGAGAGAGACATAGAGACAGAAAGCGAGAAATCACCCCCCAGGGGGGATGGTCACGCCGCAATCCGTTCTCCTCCATTCTCCTCTCGGGATCTTGGGCACGCACGCACATGTGCCCGGCGTGAGTTTTAAGCCACCAGGTCCGGGACACGAACCGCGGTCGACTACGTGGGAGTCCAGCGACATAGCCATTACGCCAACTGCTGGTTCCCCCATCTTTTGATTTTAGTTTTAATTTCTTCCGTAGTTTGAACGTTGTTCAGGAGTAGGTTGTTTAGTTCCCATATTTTTGTGTATTTTCAAGGTCTTTTTCTGTGACTGATTTCAAGTTTAATTCCATTATGGTCAGGGAAGATACTGGGTATAGTTTCTATAGTTTTACATTTGTAGAGGCTTGTTTTGTGACTAGTAGGTAGTCAACCTTGGAAATGGTCTGTGTAGAAATGAGAAGAATCTTTATTTTGTAGTTGTTGGCTGAATGCTCTATGTATTTCTGTCAGGTCCATTTGGTTTATTGCATCAGTTAGCTCCAGTGTCTGTTTATTTTTTTGTCTAGATAACCTTTCCAGTGGTGACAGTGGGGTGCTGAGATCCCCAACAATTTTTGTGTTGTATTCTATATCTCCCTTTAGGTCTATAATAACAGTCTTTCTTTTACACATTTAGATACCCTAAACTTGGGTGCATAAATATTTATGATTATTATATCCTCTTGGTGAATTCATCCTTTTAGAACTATGTAGTATCTTTCTTTGTCTCTTTTTACCCTTTTTATCTTATCTATTCTGTCTCACATTATTATCGCAACTTTTGTCTTTTTTTCATTTCTGATCACATAAAATGACTTTTTCCAGCCCTTCACTTTCAGGCTTATGTGCATCTTTGTCATTGAGGTGTTTTTCTTGCAAGCAACATGTAGAGGGATCCTTCTTTTTTTTATCCATTGAGCCAATCTGTGTCTTTTTTTTTTTTTTTTGAGAGAGAGATTTTTGCTATATGACGTGTGCACTCACCAGATAGAGAGACAGAAAGTGAGGGGGGTATGGCCATGCTGCAATCCCTTCTCTTCCATTCTTCTCTTGGGTTCTTGGGCATGCACGCTTGAGTTTAAGTCGTCGAGTCTGGAAGTTGAACTGCGGTTGACTATGTTGGAGTCCAGCAACATATCCATTATGCCATATGCTGGTCCCCAATCTGTATCTTTTAATTGGGGAATTAATCAATTAACATTCAAGATTATTATCAATATGTGTAGACTTAACCTTGTCATTTAGTTACTCTTTTTTTTCTTCTAGTTGTTTTGTGTTTTCTTGCTTCTTATTTATCTCTCTTTGATTTTCTAGTGTAGTGTTCCCTTAAGTATTTTCTGAATAGCTGGCCTACATTTGGTAAATTATTTTAGCTTTTATTTATCTGGGAATGATTTTATTTCTCCTTCCCATTTGAAGGATAATCTTGCTGGGTATAGTATTCTGGACTGAAATTGCTTTTCTTTGAGAGTTTTAAATCTGTTTTCTCAGTTTTTCCTTACCTGCATTGTTTCATTTGAGAGGTCCCATGTTAGTCTGATAAGGTAACCTTTGTAAATAACTTGGCATTTCTCTCTTGTCATTTTAAGAATATTGTCTTTGTCTTTGATTTCTACCAGTTTGGCTATGACATGACTTAGAGAGGATCTTCTTATGTTAAATCTATTTGATGTTCTTTGTATTTCCTCAATTAGGATTTCCAAATGCCTCTCTAAATTCATAAAATTTTTACCTAATGTATCATGAAAAATATTTTTTAAGCCTTTACCTGTCTCTTCACCTTCTAAATCAGCCACTTAACGGAGTCTAGGATTTCCCATATGCTTTCCTTATTTTTAGTGGTTATTTTTACATTCTTCTCTATTGCTTGGATTAAGTTCTCTTTTTTTTTTTTTTGGAGAGGTTTTGCTATAGGGCTCGCCAGACAGACAGAGAGAGACAGAAAGCGAGAAATCACCCCCCTAGGGGGGATGGCCACACCGCAATCCCTTCTCCTCCATTCTCCTCTCGGGATCTTGGGCACACATGCACACACGCCCAGTGTGAGTTTCAAGCCACCGGGTCTGGGACGCGAACCGCGGTCGACTACGTGGGAATCCAGCAACATAGCCATTATGCTAACTGCGGGTCCCAGGAAGTTTTCTCTTCAAGGTCAGAGATTCTTTCTTCTTTGTGGTCTAATCTGCTGTTAATATGTTCAAGGGAGGTTCTGACTTCCTGCATCATATTCTTTATCTCTAGAAGTTCTGCCTGATTCTTTTTTAGCATGTCTGTTTATAGAGTTGCTCCTTCAAGTCATGGGAAGATTTTGTCATCTCCTGAAATTGGTTGTCTGTTTTTTCCTGTATCTCACTGAGTTTAGTTATGATGAATATTGCAAATTCTTTTTCTGACAATTCCGTGATTTCTTGTATTTTATCCATTGTTGGTGAGGAGTTTTTGTGTTTCTTTGAGGAGAAAATATTTCCTGGTTTTCTCATATTTCTTAAGGATCTGTCATGATTTTTAGATATCTGGCAGTGAGTTCAACCCTTGCCACAACTTTGGAGTAGGTTTCTGTAGCCGGGCATATATGTGTACTTCCCTTTAATGTGAATTAGCTCTGTGCCAGTTTTCCTCTTCAACTGTGGGTGGCAGCGTGGTACCCACAGTGGAAGTTCTGGGTTCAGATCTACTGAGAGGAATTTCTTTCTTCATCCTGCTGGAATGTGTTAGGGGAGAGAATTCCTGCAGAGCCTGCTTGGCTTTCACATGTTTGGCTTTTATATATCCAGAACTCGCTGGCCCCTGTGTAGCTGAAGGCTGAGCTGAGAAGCTAGTGTGTAAGGGGTTATCCAAACCATGTGGTACCTGTGCACTGCTTGGGCTCAGACAAGCCCTCCCCCACACCCTAGGCAGGACTGGGGATTTTGGCAGTGAGCTGGCACCAGGTAACACTGCTTTCCCTCTAGATGGGTAGAGGGTAGGGTGACATCAGCACCAGAGAGTTGGCTTCTCCTACCTTCTAACTCTACAACTGCCAGAACTTGATGGTGGTCCCGAAGACTGAGACCGCCCTTTATCCCACACCCTAGCCTGGGCCAAAGGCTTTGGTGGTAAGCTGGGGCCAGGTGGCCCTGCTTTCCCTTTGCTCCTGGGTTGGTTGAGGGTAGGGTAGCATTAGCACCATAAAGGCGACCCCTCTTACATCTAACTTGGCAACTATGGAAACTGGGGTGGTAGTCCTGAAGGCCAAGGCAGCCCTGACACCCCAGAGGATAGTCTTCTAAAAGTCCAGTGACTTAGGGGAACAGAGGCCATTGAAGAGGTGGGCGACTTGTTTTACAAAGCTACCACACCAGAGGTGAGGGTGAGAGACATTTCACTTTCCAAGAAGGAGCTGCTGGCAGAAGCCAGTCTGACCAATGTCTCACTGTCCCTGTGACATAAGGGCAAGACAGTATCTGCTGGGTCTGCAGACCTGCTATATCCTCCAGCCCTGGCAAGACCCAAGCTTCCTCTTTCCCCCTGTAGATGTTGGCAGTTGCGGACAGCCCAGCTCATATGTATGGGGTGGACAATGGATTCAAAGGCCTGCAAGACATTGTTGATCCAGTGAGTGGGGGCTAGCTGTGGAAAGGAGCTGGGGTAGTATCTCAGCTGTGTCTCCCCAAGGTCCCAATCCCCACCCATCTACCTCTCTCTATTCCAGCTCGCTTCAAAGACTTGTATGGAAGTGACCTCTGTGGAGTCTTCTACTGTGTGTCCAGGAGGTTAGAGACAGTCCACTACGACTATGAGAGTCCAGGATGGATGCTCTCAGCAGGCCCCAGTCCTGACCCATCTCCTGGGTCTCCCCTGACACTGAGCACAGTCAAGGAGCAGGACGGACCCCGTAGGCACTCAGGCCAGGCCCCCAGTTCAAGCAGGACATGGGGTGTCTCCAGCTGTGTGGGCTTAGCTGCCCTCTCTCCCTGCATAAGTGGGGGCCTGGCGAGCCAAGGCGTGTACCCCTTAGGCCTTAGGAGCACCGAGGATATAGGGTGGGAAAGTTGCTGCTGAGTTTGCTCTTGAAGAAAGGCCAGGTGGGGTGCTTAAAAGAGCCAGGGGATGTGGGGTAAGGACTCCCCAAGAGCACAAGGCCCAACAGGCACTGCCATGGATGCAGTTTTGGCCAGGTACACACACAGATGATGGTGTGTACAGATGCTTCCTTGAAGGACTCCTGGAGTTCTGTTTTGGGGTGAACCGCT